AGCAGTGAATGCAAGAATTTTTTTATTACCATACATGTTCATATATCGTTGTCAAATGCATAGTGTGTGCCTTGCATCATAGTAAACGTAACACAACAATTCACATATTGATAAGAATGATGGTAAATGATGGTGTGATGGTGTGCTTGCCTCTGTATATGTGCATGCAGGAAAGATTCCTATATGTTATTAACGAAATTTATGCAAAGTATATGCACGTATACATAAACCAAAACACACACACACACACTGCAACGAAGACAAGAATGACGAGCAAAATAAATAAATACGCATATGAATATATATATATATATATATATATATATATATGTATGACTCGATAAGCATGTACGTTAGTGTGATTTACGTATGGATTTTAGTAAAGCGCAAGCTTAACAATTCACTTAGGAATCAATTCGGAACCGTGCAAATGTTGCTTTCTACTCTCTCTCCTTTATACATCACGCAATAATAAATCATATATCAGATGTAAAAGCTTTCAGATGAGTAATTTGTTGTCTTTCATTTATGTTTTTTTTTTTTTTTTAGAAGAAAATCCTGATGAATAGAGAAATGGATATATTTGCATACATAATATTGAGCGGATAAGTTTGCTTATGCTATTCAAATGTATTTGTATAATTTCAAGTATTTTTTTTTTTTTTTCTTGATTATCGCACGCACTTTTTGTTAAAATACACCCACTTTCTTTTCTCTAAATTGTTTTGGACAATTGTGAAGTGTTTGCGAGAACACTTCGGGGCGCAACAAGTTGAAAACGTCTGTAAACGCGAAAATCTAAAACTTGACTGGTTTTTTTTTTTTCTAATACTTTTCACATTTGCAATCAGCGACGCAAACTGAAAATTGCTGAAGAAAAAGAAATGAAGGCAATAGAAAAAATGAAAAAAAAATGAAAAAAAAAAAACGGCAACTGAAACATTGAAAATGTTCGAAATCCCAAAAAATCAAAATGCATGAAAATAATAATTAACCAAAACAGCAACAAGTACAATAACAGACATGCGCAGATGAATAAACACCCATAAAAGCATCGCATCGCTGGCACCAACATCAACTACTTACCCACATTCCCACATTAAAGAAAAGTAAAAAAAAAAAAAAAACGTAGTAGTTAGTTATACTTATATATACAATAACAATAACAATAGCAATAACAAACAGTTAATCAGTCAGTCAGTCACTTAGTCAGTCAGTCAAAGAGTTAGTAAAGCGATGAGATAGTTCTTTTCATCTAGAGCCCAGCCATCATTCATTTTATTTATTGCACTCGGCCTTCATTCGAACTGTGCTTAAAGAAAATTATTAACGCCGTCTATCTGTGCTTACAAGACGAAAAGAAAAAAGTTTTATTACAATGGTTTTACGCATCAAAAACACACGATCGTCGAATGCTACCTATCGTCAGATCAATTATTAATGTTTTTTTTTTTTTTTTTTTTTTTTTTTTTTGCTTTTTTCATTTTTTTTCACTTTTCCATAAAAACCCCAAAAATAAACAATGATTTTCTTCTTTGAAAATATTCTCTTATCAAAATAATTAAAAATGACACGAAAATTAACGTTTATTAAGGAAATGCTTAAAATTCCTTAAAATCTTCATATATACGTGCGCGCGTATATCTCTGCAAGATAGAATCTAAACGCCTAAAATCGAACAATTATGCCCTTAAGAAGCAAGCGTCTACCTTGGGGCATGCAATTTTAAATCGCAATAAAATCATTTAATCCAATCGCATTGCAATATTTTTAAGCTTTTATTTTGTCTACAAACTATTCCAACTCCAATCGTTCGTCACGTCCATCGTCACCCTTCCAAGAAGAAACCATAATGAACTTGCTATCAGATTGGCCTCATAAATTGTGTTACAGAAGCGGTCTGATTAATTTTGTCTATCCGTTCAACTATTTCTGATCATCTGGAATTAATAAGATTTGAGATAAAAGATTGAAATTTCACATAACAAATACGCTACTCTCGCTTATGATATTGAAAGTATACTTACTTCACTCTTCTGGTTCACTCTGGTTTATTTCAACACTTTTGGTACGAGGCGCATTAACTTTGTGCGAATCTATGTGAAATCATTTTCTGAATCATGCCTGTCTGTCTCTCCGTCTGTTTTTATATCTTTTTATATCATATATGCCCATGTATTCTTATGTTTAATCTGCACGTCACACTTTGACCCAAAAATTAATCCTATTGAAAATGGATTGATTCGGGTCAGTTTTGCGAGCATTCCCGTGTTTTACAAAGACCTTATATGAAAATGAATTGTAATGTTACTCGACAACAACCGCTAAGTATTAGTACTTCAGCATTCTAAATTGTTGTGAAAAATTTGGATCGAATGGGGAATTTCCTTCAACCCGCTCCCATGCAATCATTCCTAAAAAAAATGAATCCCGGTATGGCAAAAATGTCTAATTTCCAACATATCATGCGGAAAATTGTTCCACAAAAGTTATCTGATATAGACCTATTTTTCGAATCCCACCCCATATAAGAATTCTAATGAAAAGTAAGCCAATTCCCGATATTTTATGATCAAAATTTGTTCACAAGAGTAATTTGATAGAAAACTTAATTATATGAAATTGGAATCATGTAGGCGTCACCATCACCTATAAGGATATCAGGTGAATGTCATCACCTATAAGGATTCTCATGAAATATAAAGCCTTCTATGTTAAAAAAAAGATCTTATTATTAATATCTTATGATGAAAATTGGTCCATAAAAATTAACTATGACGAATTTGGATCACACAGGTCTATTGTTCATGCCCCATTATATTCGTAGGGACTCTCATAAAAAGCCAACTCTTATAAGCCGCCGAAGTCTAATTTGTAGCTTTCTATGACAGAAAAACTGCAAAATCTTAAAATCTTCGATAAGTAAACTACGTTGGCGAAATATGAAACACGTTAGTTAATCTTTTAAAGCATTTTCCAATACGAGGGCTTTCATGATATGTACGCCGTTAGTTATAAATAATGTATAATTTTTGTATTAGATGTAGTGATTTAGGATAATTAATGGGCGGGCTGGGTCGACTGTAATGTTCTCACTCGTTTATTGATAAATTCAACTCAGCCTTAATACCAGCGAGTTCATTAATAGCTTGAATAATTTATAGGTCATCTCTACACTTTATGAGTACATGTATATGCGATAATATTGCACAATTAGTCTATTTGCATATACATACGAACTATGTATTATAAAACTTTTCAAATGCATAGTAATGGCTGTGTAATGCCTTTCACTTGGATTGGATGGAGCTTATGAAAGTAAAGTCAAGAAAATCGATTAATATTGCGAGTGGATGCGGGTCCTCAGATAAAGCAGTTAAAGCGGATAATATATTGGAACGGAAGCTATCGTCCGCGAGTTCCGAATGTGAAAGTGCAAAAATTTAGGGAAATATATTTTTTTTTCTAACAGCATAGCCCTCTTTCGTTTGACTATCCTTTCCTGTGCGATACTCGGCAGTTTTAATAATAACAGCTGTTGAACTCTTAAAAATAGCTGTCAAAAGCGGATACCATCAGGACCTAGGTATGTTGTCTCGTTTGAAAGGAGAAAATAATCCAATGGACGATAATTATTGCAAATGGCGGGCACAAGGAAGCTTCTAATTTTGACCATAACAATAGCGGACTTATGAATTGTTCTATTGTTTTGATGTTCATCTCGGTGGCATCTACGTTCTCGTTTAAACTCTCTCACCTCATATAATATGTTCTTGTTTTAGACGAAAGAGCGGATTCTCTCAGAGCAAAATCTAATTGACATTTAACACAGACTCTGTTAAGACCTCTCAAACGAAAGTATTTTATCACATACCGATGACACATTTTTGGAGGACTGGATGGGTATATCTGCGACTGTTCTCGTAGAAAAGGATGTGTATTTAAAAATTTTTAGAGACGGAAGAGAAGGTACGAACTATTTTTTTGTTGCTTAGAGACAATCGTGTAACGGAACGTGTAAGCGCTTGCCTCGGAGTAGAAATATTTCGAGTGTTAGATCGTTTTAGATAAATAATTATTACATTTTTACTTATTGAAATCATTGAAATTGTCGACGACATTCGAACCGTACGTTTAGTGTTAACAAACTTGCAGTCTTTGAAGGCTTGTAAATATTGCTTGGCATTCAGTTAATACTAAAAATTTTCATTTCTTTCTTATACTTCCTCTTAGGAGATATATCCGTCGAATATGTTAATGGCTTTCCGTATTTCGTCATACCACTACCCAGTAGAAATGAAAAGTGTCGCTTTGCATTGAAACCAATTTCCCATACGGTCGGAAATTTTATTGAAATGTTGAAAACGGAAGATCGGGGTATTGATCGCGCCACAATACTTAATAAAAATGGTATCCGAATAGCATCCTCATGTAACGTGGAGAGCTTACTGGATGAGCCGTTTTGGTAAGCGAATGCAAAAAAAAAAAAAAAAAAAAAAAAATTACAAAAAAAAACTCAATCAATATCAAATTCTAGGATATACATTAATGACCAGAAATACAAAGTTGTACCACCTGAGAGAGAACGTGTTATACTGGAAGAGCTGAATAACCTGGGGAAAATTCGAGCTTTAGTTGGCCAAGTACAGCGTCAATATAAAATGTTACATTATAGTTTTACTAATCATTTAATTTAACAGTTATACGAAGCTCTGAATGTGGGCGAATATCATATACAAAAGGAACAGGAATTGGTAACAAGACTAGAAGACTTAAAGTATAAGTTAGCACCTTTGGAAAGTGTAGGTTATTCTGCAACGTAGTCAAATAATAATTGTAATGTTGTTTGGTTGAAATTTCTTACTTTCATTTAAAGGAAAAGACGGAACTGAGCGAGCAAGCAAAACGCAAAACAACAATAATGAATTGGTTGGGATTGGGTTTGATGTCAGTGCAATTTGGAATTTTGGCGCGACTAACCTGGTGGGAGTACTCTTGGGATATTATGGAACCAGTAACCTATTTTGTAACTTATGGCACGGGTATGGCCATGTATGCCTACTACTGCATTACTCGTATCGTAAGTTTCGGTTTTTCTTTTCTTTTTTTGTTCATTTGTCGACATTTAAAATTTCTTAAATATTTTCTCGTTTATAACTTTCAATAGGAATACAATATGCCGGATGTTAACAAACGACAATACCTCTTAACCATGTACAAACGTGCCAATAAAAAGAATTTCGATGTAACCACTTACAATAGTTTAAAACGTGAAATTGCTGAAATTGAATATGATTTACGTCGTTTACGCGATCCTCTCAACATTCAGCTGCCTCCTCATATCGATCGCTCTCAGCAGCATCCACCTCTGGAACAAAAAATATCACGCAAAAGTGCCACAACAAATTCGGAGCTGGCCGACGGCACAACAACGACAAAAAAAGCTGGCCTCAGTTTACCATTTTTAAGTTCAAAGGCCTAAAAATTAGATTAAAATATTTGCACAATTTACTTAAAAGTTGCCTTTTTAAATACCCTCTCCGGTGTGTTTGAAATCATCCCATAGAACTTTAACGCCAGCTTCAAGTTGGTCTCCTATTTCATTTATTTTATCTATTTTGTGTGTATTAGCTTTGATGTGTTTCCTTGTCATCGCTCAAATGTCATAGCGTCGTTCATTTATTTACCTATTTAAGCGTGGGGCGTTCTTCATGTACTTCAAATCATTTGGATTGATTTTATTTATATTTATTTATGGTGTTTAAGCTAATTTTTCAATGATTCAATTAATTAATTGTTGTTGTTGTTGTTGTTTTTTTCTCAGATATAAAACTTATTATATAATTTATAGTAAACGATACATTTTCATTTACTCAGCCTACATATCCGCAAATTATGGATAAGTATAATTAATACTAGAACTGCCGAGAACTTCAGTTTACCTCTTTTCAACTTTCGAGCTTCATAAAGTCATGTAATGTTTAAAAATTTGTCATGATCTACTTTTATGTAAAGGCCATTAAATATCTATAATCTAATCAAATTTAGTCCCCTGCAATGTGCATCGAAATGCTGGTCGCATAACATAGCATGAAAACAGTGATAGATAGATTTGGAAAGATGATTCAATAAATGTAAAATAAGATCATAATCAACTATTTACCCCTTAGCTGCATAAAAGTGTTGCGGTAAACTCTTCGCGGATCGTAAACATAAGATTGCTTATGTTCGTTGCCTATTATCAGTCGGTTCAATCGGTTAAGAAATAGAATCGCCAAATACCTACCAATTTTTCTATCTTTCGTTCAAATAAAACAAATTGACTCAATTGGTATACGCAGGTGTCCATCGCATTACACAATTAATTCGTATCGCGCTGTATCTGAACAGTGTTATGCGAAACTGTTTTATTCATTTATTTAATCTAAGATATAAAATGAAATAACATGAATTAAACTTCGATATAATATAAAACAAGGTAATGTGCATCGCGTTATGTCGACACCAACGCTTAAGATGTAAAATTTTATGATAGCTTAAATTGCGTCCAAAATTCACATAAAAATTGAAAAGCAAGTTCACTTTAAATTTTGCTAAAAAAGAATTTATGAAATTGAATATTGTGATGAGTAATATAAAATTTAAAAATATATTCGAAAGATAATAATGACAATTGCAAAATTAATTTTCATCAAAAGCTATTGAATTATGAAATGTACCCATAAAGTGGGCTGAAACTTCTAAAGTAAATATAAAGGAAAAGTCAATTGAAAAAAACACATGTTCGAATGTTTGAAATCGTGTTTAATGTCATAATCGTGTTATAAAATTCCCAATTTTTGTATCATAGTGCATTGAAACCGTGCTTGACAAGTTCCGCGCTGTACAAGGGGTGCCTGGATCGAACAGCGGCAGTTGTAGTCTTGAAGCAGGCGATCTCTATCTAAACTTCGACACCCCGCCAACAGTTGTTTTATGAGAAGGCATTCAGCCAACTTTCCATTAGAGAGCATCAGCACTCAACTGAAATTACTGCAACAATTTATCTATGGCCGTACACATACTAATCGAATATGATTTGCGTTATCGATCAAATTTCTTAGTTTTTTACATAAATGAATCCATTTTCAATCCTTCAGGATAGTGTCAAAGAATTTCCACTTTAGCAAAATTTTAACCACTCGGGCACATAATATTTTTTTTTTTTCAAATTTATCACAAAAACTTGAAGCATCCAGTATGCGTTAGCAATACCCAGACAAAATGTATATTTTTTTAACGGAATCTGATTTTATTATCATTTAGCCATGTCCCTTATCGGAACAACTTGGAAACGAGAATTCAACACATATACCATAGGTTTAAGAATTAGCAGGATTCGTTCACACATGCAACTGCACAGTAATCAAATATATAACTTAGAACCGTTGCGTCTGGGGGGGAATCGAAAGGAAAATGCTAACGCAAGCAAATCCGAAATGTACGAAAATACTAAACAAGTGAATTTCAGTAATTTTACGATCACTTTCTCAAAAGATAAAGACAAAGATTGTGAGATCTGTTGCGCATATTATTCTCATTTGTTTTGCAAGCCGGTCTTTTTAGCAATTGTTTAGAAATTAAATAAAAATGATGTGCGACCTTTATATGTTTTACTATATGTTTATATTAAATTAAACGACAACAATAAAAAGCATTTAAATTTATCGAAAACATAAAGTTAATAAGATTAGTTGAATATATCAATATATGCACATTTATGTATGCATTCAAATATATCTTGTGCCAAAAAATAATGTTTACTTTTACAAAAATTCAAAATGCATCCCATCCCTTGTGTGTGTGTGTGTGTGTGTGTGTGTGTGTGTGTGTGCGTGTGTGCGTGTGTGTGTTACAAATACTAAACGAATGTGTTCCTAACGATATCGTATTACGACGTGAACTTTCTTAAATATATTTTGATTATATTTTTTTGCATTTTTTCGATTTTTTGTTCAAATTTTCTTCTTCCTTCGCTTACCATCATCCTATACTAGACTTAAGTTTCACTAAATCTGCAAAATCCATAAATGATTATTTGACTACATTTTGAAATAGAATCGACGTTCAATTCACTCTTTCTCTCTCTCTCTTTCTCTCTCTCTCTCTTTCTCTCTCTCTCTCTCTCTCTCTCTCTCTCTCTCTCTCTCTCTTTCTCGCTATCTCTCTAGTTTTCTAATTGATGTTGGCTCATAATCGTAAAATTCATTTGCAGATCTGAACTTAAAGGCAGACGCTCCCAGTTGCTATAAAAGATTCGAAAACCATAAAACAACAAAAGTTTCGTTCTTGTCTAAGTTGCAAAACAGTAAATTAGAGATCTGAAATCCGCATGCAGATAGTTCAGGAAATTGCTGCATCAATATTTAACTTTAAACTTATGTATTTCTATTCAAATCAAACTTCACTTTGTTAAACTGACAGACGACCCTTGAGAAATAACGTTCACGCTAATTGCATTTTTCATAAAGTGGAAAATTTGAATGTTTACAGAGGAGAATGCGATAATGAAACTAATGTTGATCGCATAATTTGTATGACCTCAAAAACCTTCGCAGAGCGGTTATGTAAACCTATGTCACTTTTATGGTCTATACCACATGTGGTATAAGAGTAAATTAAGATTTTGCGGATGTATTCAACACCCAGAAGGACTTGAGATAGAGCCTGCTTTTATTATACCGATCGATTTAGAATTACTTTCTGAACCAACCTTGTCTTCTTGTGTTCAACCTGCAGGCCATTATTTTCAAGATATTTTAATACCATTTTGATACGCTGACATGTTTTGATCGAAGGGCGAACGCTGGCTCGGGTGGGGTTGCTTTCGTCACCACTTCCCATAACGCCATATTTTGAAAAGGCCTTATGTGATTAACTGTAGCAAGGGATAGGATAGCTGATAGTGCGTCGCAGCCAACTATAATGTTTTTACTTATTACAACAATAACTTTTGTTCTAGAATTTTAGAAATGTTTCACTCTACTAAACTCTACCATTCAATTAAGCGAAGATGAAATATTAAACACGTGACCTAACGTGATCCGAATTGCTTTTCCTATCAAATATCTTATTATTTTTTACCAATGTCCGCCTGTTACCTCACACAGGAACGAGGGCTTGCCATATAAAACATTGTCTTTCATGAGAACTACTGCTTTGGTATGCAGTCCCCTAAATACACCTTTATGATGCAAGTGTGATCTAATCGTTATTATGCTTCAACTTTTCATCATAGAATATTAAAAACCAAATCTTTTCACAGAAACTTTCACTATAAGAAAGCTGGCCTGAGCTAAATTTACGACATATATATTAATACCAAAATAATATTTTCTAACGATTTCTAAAGTACGTCAACCAATTTGACATCAGAATATGCCGGCCTAAACGCAAATACATAAACGGACAATGCGCAGAAAATTTGACCCGTTCGACATAACAAAAGGTAGACCCAGCGTACGTAATTCTTATTCGGCTCAACCTAATATATTTTATACCATTAGTGATGTTGGATAAGAAAGGGTCGAGAAGAGGCAAATAAGTACAATTCAATACTCAATAATATCGAGTGATGTTTCCTGATGTCTTCCAATTTTGAGGAAATCGGCAGTATCTATCATCTAAAGGATATAGGTGAAGAGTTTAACGCCTATCACCTTTTTTAATAATGAGCAAAAAACCCTTAGACACAGCAAAGGGCCAATAATCCTTATTCGCGCGGTTTGTTCCATTTTCAATACCAACCTGTGTGCAAGAACTTCCAATGTTTCTGCCCAATTCGAAGTCGATAGCTTAATCTTTGCGGCCAGGGTAATGTTTACAACAGACATTATACAGACAGGCAGACGGACGTGCTTAAATCGATTTCGAACTTGATGCTGATCAAGAATATATATACTTTGTGGAGTCTCTGATCCTTCCTTCTGGGCGTTGCAAATGTTTTGACAAAATGCATATACCGCCCATCCTTCGGTGATGGGCATAATAAACTTGAAAAAGGGCTACAGAAGGTTGAAGGCATCATTTTAACATAGAAATTATTATGAATCATTTTTTTATGTAAAAGTAAATTTCCTATCGGTTAATAGTCAACATCAATGGATGGAAATGGAATGCAATTAAATTTTTTGATGGTTTTGGCGGATAATCAAATTTGGATCTACGGTGCGCGTATATCAATATATTGTAGTTCAGTTCATTCATATTTCTATTTTCTAATTCCGAAGATACAAAACCAACAAACCCAATAATATGTTCGATGCTAAACGTGTAAATATATATAAAAATCTGCACCAACTAGTTGTAATTAACATTAATAAACTTTAATGAATATAAAAAAACAAAAATTTATAAAATATATATTAAATAAGCATATCCTTCATAAAAGAACTTGGCGCGCACATAATTTCTCCGAGAAAAAATAAAAATGAAAAAATGTAAAAAAAAACAATTAAACGAACTATGTAGGTAAATATGACACAAATCAAGATTTCTATTGTTGAGAATATTTTTTCATTTGTACATAATATGTATTTAAAAAAAAGAAAAAAAAAAGAAAAGATAAACGTCCTGCAATAGAGTCCGGTCACGCTTTACTATAATACATTTATTAAATAATTTTATTGTTAAATATTTTCATAACATTTACTAATTAGTAAATATTGAACTGTACTGCACACAGGCATACATACATATATACACGCACATACATGCACATACACGCCCGTACAAAAGCATATATTAATTAATTACGCACTGCGAGTTTCAAATTCCTTAAATTGTACATAAAATATTAAAGCGAGAGATCTCAATGCATCAAAATGATTGATTAATCCATTATGAAGCAAATAAATAAATCAATCGCGCGTATATTGAACTGAATAATCTCTTTTAATTATTCAATTATATTAACATTAAATAAATACGATTTCGATTATCGCAACTTAATATCATATATGTATATATGTATATGTATATACATGGATATATATGTGTATATGGATACATGTATATATATATATATATATATATATATATATATACATATTTTATGTA